TGGGTCTTAGGGTTTTCGCATTCGTGTGTAAGCATCTAGGCAGTCCTGTTGCCACGTTGGAAGCTCTTTGAACCTGCTCATATCGAAAGGCTCCTTGTGCCAGCAGCGCCGCTCGCGCCACCAGTCTGAGCAAAGCAACCAAAGCTGCCCTTGATTTCTGCCAGAGCGGAAAATATGGGGACACAGAGCACGGCGAAGGGCAGTGCCGTTCTTGAGGATCTCCTTCTCGTGAATATGGCAACCCCATTTGAACGCTCGTCGTCTTCGGCCTGCAGCAGCTGTCAGAGTAGCTGACAAAGGCGGCTGTCGTTCACCTGTCGAAGCCACAACATTGACAGGTGCAGCTTCCATGCTCTGGTCGGATCTGTCGCGTCCTGCACTTGTCGAAGCCACAACATTGACAGGTGCAGCTTCCATGCTCTCTTCGGATCTGTCGGAAAAGTCGACAAGGTTGTCCTCCGACATGTGCTCCGCTGAGGTCGACAAAGCCAGGGCGTGGTCGGAGGAAGTGACTCCATCGGATTCTGCGGCCTTCACACAGGGATTGCGGAGGCTTTAAGGTGGCTGGCCTAGGGTCGAGACGTTGACTGTCACTGCCTCTGCTGCCACAATGCCGGCGCGATGCATCGCACCAGCACGCAGCAAAGCTCTACCGATAAGTTTGATTCTCTCTTCCGCTGCCGGCACCTGGGTGCGGAGCCACCAGCTGTACAAATAATTAAAGAGGTGCGGGGAGAAGGTTGTCTCCGAGTCGTCTCTGCTGCCGCCGGACAGTGAGACAGGCACGTACCCTTTGATACATTTCCATCTCTCATCTATCAGACCCGTGTTGACGCGTAGGCGGCCATGCGAACCAGCACTTACGGTCTTCGACCACTCGCTCTTCGAGTGGACGACAAATTTATGCTGGAGTCCATAAGCCTTGGCGAGCTTGTTGTACACCTTGGCCCCATCCGTCAGGAGCACGCTGGCCATCTCGCGGTCGCCCTTGACGGTTGGAAGGATCTGTTCGAGCGCCTTGGTTTGCAAAATATCCGGGACTCGACTGGACAGACTGCATTGTGTGCTGTCTTCTTCACTGGTACTATATACACCAGCATTTTCGGCACCTCGTGGTTCGTTGGGCGCTGCACCAAGCCCCACAAGGCAACATGGAAGTTGCTCCCTGCACGTTTGAAGAGCTTCAGGCATGTTCCGTCTCCTTCCAAGACACCGCGGAGTTTGAGGGAACTCATGCGGGTATAGCCGTGCAGGGCTTCACCCCGACACGTCGACAGAGTTCCTGCATGTTCGGCTTCGCCATGTCCATGAACTCCTCAACAAATCCAACGACCTGCGCTAATGGCCAATGCGTTTTCTTCACAGGCAGGATTGTGAATCGCAAGCAGGAGAACAGCCGGCAACACCTCGAGCCGCGGAAGTACACAGTATGCTCTGGCAGACTGAGCTTCTTCAGTTCCTTCCTGAGTGCTTCTTTGGCGGCCATGTCGCTTTTTCTCTTAAGCACTTGCCTGCAGATACAGTTCGCTTCACACTGCGGGCAAGCAAATTGCCGATACGACCGCAGCGTTTGTCTGACGAGCTGCATTTGCTGGAATTTCTTCCAGGCTTGCCGATTCGTCTCGCGACATTCTGCAAGCTTGACTTTGGCATCACACTTTGTTTGACGCTTCGCCGTCCGTCTCTTCTCCGCCCAACGTCTTTTCTGTTGGATGGCCGACTTTTTTCGTGCAGTCGACACTCCCCGTGTGCCTTTGTGCACATTTCGGACACGTCTGTGTTCTAACCTTTGAGCTGCCTTTCTTGATCCGCGTCGCCTCTCCATGCCCTGCACTGTCAATGGCTCGCACCCATCCATGACAGCCTTGCTCATAGCAGTCACGCTATGTTTGACCTGAAGCTTCTTGAGCAACTTGAGCGCCAGGGTAGGACATGATCGGGTGTTGTGTCCTTGCTTCCCACAGTACTGGCATGTCTGTATTTGCCATACTGGGCGCTTCCCCATGGCCTCGGCAGTATCCCCACCTACCGTGCCTTAGGGGCGTTCTGAGCCATGATGCACACGTGCGTGCTTCTTGCATGCTGCCATGCCCTCGCGCTCCGCTCTGACAAAAACAACCCTTACAGACACAAAAGCTGCGAGCCTGCTCCGCGCACCTTGTCCTCTTACTGCTTCCAGTCGCTTCTTCAGCCTGGTCGTCAGTTCTTCTCGCTGGGACAAAGTAAAAAAAAAACCCGCGTCAACCCTGCCGGAAAACCCTTCTTTACACGCCTAAACCCTGGGTAAACCCTGCACAATACCCTAAACCTAAAGCTTCTGCAGGCACACTTCGGCCTCTGCGTCTCTCTGAGCGGGTGCTGTCTGTTCCTTGTTTCTGTCTTTCTCGACCTGACCCACGGATCGCTGGGATTTTCCCGCATTCGGCTCCGGCTTTAAAGTACAGTCTTAAAAATTGGGGTTTAAGGCTTACGGGCTTCAGGGCTTCAGGCTTAAGGGCTTTAGGCTTAAGGGCTTAAGGCTTCAGGGCTTAAGGCTTAGGCCTTGAGGCTTTAAGGGCTTTAGGCTTCAGGGCTTAAGGCTTACGGCCTTAAGGCTCAAGCAGGGTTTAAGCCTTAGGGCGTAAGGATCAGGGCTCCTTGCTTCAAAACCCTGCTAAACCCGTAAACCCCTCACGCAAGAGCCTCGTCCACGGAGCTTGCTCTCTTCCTGCTTCCTGTCGCTTCTTCAGCCTGGCGGGTTTTAAGGCAGGGTTTCCGAAGGTCTTGCTTCAGGGTGTCAACCAGTACCAAGGAAAGTACACCTTAAGGGCTTAAGGGCTTAAGCCTTGGGGCGTAAGGCTTAAGGGCTTAAGGCTTAGGGCTTAAGGTACTCCCTGAGAGCACAAAACCCTGCCCTGCAAACCCTAAACCCGTAAACCCTTCACGCAAGAGCCTCCTCCACGAAGCTTGCTCTCTTCCTTCTTCCTGTCACTTCTTCAGCCTGGCGGTTTTAACGGCAGGGTTTCTCAACGTGTTGCTTCAGGGTGTCAAGCAGGACAAGGGAACTGTTTCGCTTCAGGCTTGGCACGCCCCGGCCTCTCCGCCCAGAAGAAGATCAGTACAGTTCTGCTCCTGCTGCTCCTCTCCCAAAGCCTTCCGTGACAGCTAGCGTGGAAGCTCTTGAGGGTTTCTTCCTTTGTCTTTGAGGTTTCGGGTTTCAGCTTTTGGGTTTGCACACTCTGGCTGCAGCGGTCGTCTCACCTCGGCTTCAACATTACTTCCTGTATCCTCCTGGCTCTCTTCCTCCGCCTGGTCACACGTGCAGTTTTTGCAGGACTTGGCTGATACAAACCCCAGACTCACCAGCATTCTTTTGAACACAAAAACTGCTTGCGAGTCCCAGGTCTGCTAAGTCAGAAACGATCACATGCGAGCTTGCAGCGCTACCTCTACATCGCGGCAGGAGCACAGCACGGACTGCCAGATTCCTTGAGTTTCCGGTGTCGGAGCCAGACTGCTTTGTAGCTCTGCGTACAGCTCGCGAAAGGTTTCGATTGCGCTCCGAACTTCCACAAGCTCCACACCATCCTCCGGAATGTAGAGTTCCAGATTTCCTACTATACTTCCTTGGCAAGCACGTCTAGGACAGAGTCCTGTATCGACGAGTCTCATGCCCGCGCTCGAGCTGGACGGAAGAGCTCTTTCCATCCAGTTTCTTGCGGACGTCAAAACGCAGCACAAGAGTCGCAAATTCTGCAACAACTCCGTCCTGTCCTGCGTAATGAGACTGTACAGATGGTACAGTGCCGGAATCATTCTATGGAGCTTCTGCGAGAAACCATCTACGTCCTCGATGGGCGAGGTGGCAGCCAGAACCAAAACCAGCATCCGCATGGCTGAGGTCTCCATGGCTGCGTCCATCCCTGGGAGATCTAGAGTAACACGGTGCTGAGCCCAACAAACTCTCACGGTGCACAGCTGCATGGACAGCAGAAACACGCGGAAACAGAAAC